GGGTCTCAATGCCAGAGGAGTGAGCCACTCACCCATGCCCCACACTTGGACTCCTTTATCCAGCAAGCCACAGCAGCACTTTGCTGGACTTGATCGATGTGGAAAACACCCGAGTTCTTACCTTGTTGCCCAGATTGGGTCTGGGATAGCAGGAACTGGGATACGGACTGGAGGTGGCCAGGAACCAGCACGAGCTGCTGGAGCGGATGGAGGGAGGTCATGTCCTGCACATGGGGAGACACATAAATCGCCGAATTTACACGCTGGGGGTGCCGGCTCCATCTGCCTGCTGCCCATCTGTCCCGTGGGGCTCCAGACTCTGAGAGTTTGTTGGCAGTGACCTTGCCTTATGTCTCTGTGTAGCTCAAGTGCCTGGCACGTAGTAGCGATTCCATTAATGCTGGCATTGTTACAGCTCCTGCACTCAGCCAAGCAGTGCCTCTCAGCCTAGTGTACTTAAACTTTGCCTTGTTATTTAACTTTCGTGCGTGTCAGTCTTGTCTCCCAAGTAGACGGTAAACGTCGAAGGCACAGGCTCAGTGTTACCCGGCTCTCAGAGGTTTACCCTAGAAATGACATGAAATCCCGATCGTCTGACTCTGTTTCTTTAATCTCATGCCACTCGACTGTGCTAAAAGCCACGTCTTGGCCATTTCCTGGGCCTGAGCTTTTCCTGGAAGGAGGAGTAAGTTATTATTTCTTAACACAACCGATCTGATGTGGCAGAAAGGCCACTGCCCCTGGGCTCCTCCCACCAGCCCTCAAAAGGGAGACAGCAGTTCCGATACGTGGGGGATCGAGATCCTCAGGGCTCTGTGCCCCACGAGGGCTGTGCTTAGGTCTGTACACGAAGAGGTGGTAAACCCCTGCTGAATGAGGAAGTGAAGGAATGGGCACACGTTCCGGTCTTAAGTATTTCCAGGGAAGGGGTGGCATTTCTTCCCCAGGTGATCCAGACCAAGAGAGGGGCTCGCCACATGGACATCCGCCCTCTCTGACGTTTGCTGTTACTGTTTCAGGGTGCCTCCTCTTCCCCGCACAACACTCTGTTCTACTTTGGCTTTGGTGCAAAACCTCGAGGGAGGAGAGTGGGCTCACTGGAGACAGAAATGCTCTATATCTGTAGCCATGGTTGTCGCAATAGGGTCCCCTGAAATGGGGGCCGGCTCCACAGCCGCTAAGTCCATTGTTCTGGCCAGGCCGGCTCCTTTTGGTCCCAGACAGGTAGAGGCAGCCGGGCTTCCCCTATGGACTCCCACCTCCACCCCAGGCCCGAATCCCTCGGTCACACTCCCTACAGGGGGCTTTTCGGACCACGAATTCACCGAGAGCCAGGTCTAGAGGTCAAGCATTTTGGAGAAGGCTTGACTTCAACTCCCCGGCCCACTGAGACTATCAGGGCTCCCCGGCATCAGGCTGGCATTTACCCCAGACATTTGGTTTCCAGACATCATGGCAGGTCCTTGACTCAGGTGACATGGCCGATGCGAGAGGGTCTGCTGCAAGGAGTCACTGAGGTCCTCAGTTTTAATCTGTGTAAGTGGAGGCAGGAGAGCATCAGTGCGGGGCCTCCCCAGGCGGGCAGAAACAGAAACGTAGAGAAGGTCAAGGCGGATTAGTGACCAGCCCCGAGAGTAAGGAGCTAGCTCCGTGCCTACAGTACCTACAGGGCTGGGGCTTGATGTGCCTGCCTGTGTGTGCACCTCAGCCCAGGGCAGCTGGTAAGAGACAGGGAAATGGCACTCTGGAGTCAGAGTCTGCAGGAGGGGGGTTCACAGAGATCCATGGTTCCTCAGCACATTCTGTGGGCTGTGCAGGCCCACGGTGCAGTTTACGCGCTTCCTTGTTGAAACGGGAAAAAAAGAAGGATATTGCAGGGACTTGAAACATTTTTTTTAAATTTGGAGATGGCGTTCTTCCTTTTTTCTTGGGGGGAGAGGTTAGAATTTCTTTTGTGACATGATGCTGATTCTAAATGGTATTTTAAGGGGCACCTGGATGGCTCAGTGGGTTAAGCGACCAACTTCAACTCACCACTTGTGGTTTGAGCCCCGTGTCGGGCTCTGTGCTGACAGCTCACAGCCTGGAGCCTGGTTCGGGTTCTGTGTCTCCGTCCTTCTCTGCCCCCCTCCACCCGCTCATGCTGTTTCCCTTTCTCTCTCTCTCTCTCAAAACTAAATAAACATAAAAAAAATTTTCTAAATGGTATTTTAAAAACTCCCCACCTTGCAAAGTGGGAAAAAAAAAAAAAAAAAAAAAAAAAAAGGCAACCCTTTACCAGTCTTCCCCATACTGTTTGTTTATTTTCCTGGTCCACAAAATCCCAAAGTCTGGGAGCCAGCTTCCCCTCTCTCTTCCCCTTGTTTTCCACAGTTATCTATCTTCTGCGTGGTGAGCTGCCTCTGCAGTCAGCCCTCTGCACCCATGCGGCTCTGATGATAGTCTTTGCCGGTCTCCCTACAGGTGGGGACACGTCTCCCTCATAGTCACTACTGCAGGGGCAGCCCGAGGGGGCTGTGATGGCTTCTAAAACCTCTCTAGCCTCTCTCCAGTGAGAGAGGCTAGTGCTGTCTCATCCAGTGCTGTCTTGGATGACAGCACCAATCACCCACCTGTGGGGCTCTCGGGTGTCCAAGGGCAGGGCTGGATGGGTGCACTATTTGGGCCCATCCAGAGAACTATACTCTTGCGGCTTTTCAGGAAGTCCACTGGGGCAGGGGGAGCCAAGTGACTCTGAATTCATATAATATGACAAAGAGCATAGGATCTAGACTATACCTTTTAAAAGACATTAGGGAGATCCTCTGATGGAAATTCTTGGCCATAGACGTCCTGGCTTAAACCATTTTCTTGGTCTACACTGGGGATGTCACAGACATCCTGGAATCACTCCTGTATTAACTTAATCCAAGTAAAACGTTCAGACCAATGGCTATATTTATGCTTCATTGTTGTGAAATGAATCTTTAGATCACTAAAGAAAGAACTCCCTTTGGTTGGTGAGCGAGGCAGATCCTACTGAGTGATATCAGAGACCGAGGAAAGAGCTAATGTCCTAAATATGGTACCTTGCACATAATGGGAATTAATGCAAGTTAATTACCTAAAAGACACAAACAGAACCCATTTCTCCATAGACTCCAGGGGGATACAGTCAGGAAAACGTTGAACAGGGAGCTAGACCTTGTGTCTAAGTCCTCACCCTGACTTGAACTTACTACGTAACCCTGAGCAATCTTTTAGCCTGTACGAGACTCAGTTTCTCCATCTGTTTGATGATTCTATAGGATTCTTCTCTCTTCCAGTCCTAAAATGGAATCACAAGTTCCAGTTCCATAGTGCGTTTGGCAGACTTGGCTAGCCCAGGTTGCTGCGGTGTTCTAAAGCAGACCTAAAAGGGCACCAACAAGGGCTGGTGCCACCAAAATTGGGAAGAGGATGCTTCTTTCAGGGACAGTCTTTACAAATCATTCCTCTCTTCTCTCACCTAAGGAGACTTATTCTGGGGCACTGGAAGCAGAGAAGAGGAAGGGAGAGAGACAGGAAGTAGGACAGTGGGGGCAGAGGGTTGAGACTTTGTGAACTCTAAAGACACGGCCAGCCGGGAGGGATTGCCAAGACGGCCCCATTCGCTAGCCCCAGGGTCCCTCGGTTCTTCCCACCCAGGCTTGGCATCTCCGTCTAAGAAGCTCTGGTGTCCTACTTTCTTCCCCTAGAAATTAAGAGCTTTCACATCCTCGATTCTGGGGAAACATTTGTTAGCAGGTTTTTAAAAAGCCAGAAATAGATGATACAACTACTTATTTAAAACCACCACCACCACCACCACCCTTAAGGTTTGTTCGAAGAGATTTTAGTTAAGCAAAGCCTTTGGGGGGCCACGTCTCCTTTGTAGATCCCCCCCCGCTCCTGCCCCGGTGCATCCCTCTCCCAGTGCGGGGATAGGTGAGGCAGGATGGAGGAAGGGGGACAGAGGGAGAACATGGAAAATTGGAGCCAAAGCCACGCTGGGTAGAACCACCGCGGGCAGCTTGGCGGGGCTCCAGCTCGGAGGCAAGTGGCAGGGTTCCTTTATAGACTCATTATGCGCAATGGAGATAAGAAGGTGCAGCTATGACAGAGCTTGAAAACATGTGCTTTGCCTCCAACCTGGGTGCTATCTGTTAGAATCACTGCCAGGTCTTCCTGCAACACTTAATTTCAGAAACCAGCGCCATCATAAAAGAAAACTCACCCTTTCATCTGCTTCCCGGATCAATTGCCCTCCAAACTCGTTGAGGGGCACAGCTGACCTCCCAGTTCTAAAAATGAAGCAACCGATAGCAGGAAATTCCTCTGGGTGTTCGTCTGGGGCGTTCTGACAGCCCCGTGTGTGTCATTGTTGTGACTTTTTGCTTTGGCGGCGTTTCACTCTTTCATTTCTCATATTTCATTAGCCTATGGGTGCGAGCTGCTGACAGTAACCCCCCAAGGAAGAGAGTCCTATACAAACCAGGTTGAAAGACAGTAAAGGAGATTTCTTTGTCGGTGACAGATTCTAGAAGTCTCTGCTTTGGTGGGTGGGTCTCAGAAAGAGAGGAAGGGAGGAAGATACGTTAGCGGCTCTTAACAGCCTCCTTTGGCAATTCTCTTAAGAGTTCACGGGTGAAGAAACTAAGAAATTAAGAAACAAAGTCCTTCCCAAATCAAAAAAATCCCTTTCACTGCTGTCGAATGGAAAAGATTGGAGCCTTTCCAGGCAACTGGGTGTTGGCTGTGGATCTGGAAGACGAGATAGAGAGACTTCTGTTGGAATCCCATTGACTTCTAATGTGAGAACCGGAGGCAAATTGGACGAAAATCCACTTTCCCCTGTACTTGTGAAAACCCAATCAAACCCACAGCCTGCCTGGAATCATGAAGACTGTCTCCAGAGTCCCTTTGGTGGTTCTTCTCACGCAAAGGGATATCTCTGCAGGCCCTGCTTGGGATGGACTAATCCCTGGGGACACGGGCCACCCAGAGGGCTCGGCCCTGTCATAGCCACTGACCATCCCGTCCATCTGCTAGACAAGGTTTGTTCGCTCAGGATTTTCTCCACCCACTGTGCTGTGTACAGGTGTTACACTGAGTCTTGGGCAGTGACCAGGGAGGTAAAAAGTCATCATGGGTGATTATCTTTTCTAATCCCAATGAACTCCCTGACATCACCTGCTTGAGAAAGCAGTATCCTCATTCCGCGAGGAGAGAGCCCCCTCGGAGGGGCTGGAAGCCTTCGTACGTTCCTTACTCGGCTTCACACTCCCAGCCAGGGGTGTGGGGACAAGTATTTGCCTTCCCATCTCATGGAGGCCCAGAGAGTTTTAGAGATGGGGATAAAGTTACATAACAAGACACTGGCCAAGTCCCTTAAGGGAATGACCCTCTGATTTCCCCCCGGTTCCCTTTCTACAAAACAATACTATCAACTTTCCAGGGGTGGGAGACAGCATAGACCGTAGGTGATGGAAAAGGTGGCGTTCTGGCCCAGATAGACCCACGGACCTCCTTATGAACCATGTTTTGGGGTCATGTGATGGGGCACGAGGGTGCTGGGGTACTCCTCCTTAGCCCCACCCATGACATTTTCACATGGTTCTCTCTCTCTCGGGGAAGCAGCCCCACACTAATGAACAGATCACTGGCGATGAAAACGATCAAAGCTGTTGTCCTGGTTGCATAACTCGTTTGTGGAAAGTGTTTCATAAACATTTCACAAGAAGGAGAATTTCAAAGCATGAACATCTCCCAACCTGCCTTCAATTACAGGCAGGATTTTTTTTTTCTTTCTCCCCCCCCCCCCCTTCTACACTTCTCCTAGCAGTAAGGAGAGTTTCTGTTTTGTAACTGATCTATAAAGGGTTGGCAGCGAACATGTTGCTCATGAAAAGATCCTAAAAATATATTTCCAGTGGTAGAATGGGGCAGGCAAGTAACTCATCTCAGGTGAACAGGGCTGAGAGTCCCCCGGGAGATGTTGGCTTGCATTTTCGCTTGGGAAACTCTCCTCTTTCTGTGGTTCTTGGTTGTTCCCTGGGAGTCCAAGACTCCTGCCTTCAGATGCCTCCGGGAAGTGCCTGGGGAGATGGCCTCACCCAGGTTTCCAGTCAGAGCAATGACAGACCAGCTTCGAGGCACCTTTGCCCAGGGACACTGGGATCTTCTCCCTGCCCGCATCAAACTTCTAGACAAAGGAAGAGAAGAGACAGGGGACCCTCGAATAAACTAGTAGCTCCTCAGGAAGCCGGGGCCACTTGGGGTTGCTACCTCCTGAAAAGGAACTTTTCAAAGAGGCATCCTTGTTTTTCTGGCTTGCACCGACTCTGGAAATGCAACACGCTTATCAGTCATGTTATTTAATGCTTTGGCTTCAGTTCTTAAGACATAGCATTGCTAGTGCTGACACATGCGTGAAAAACCCCATCATTTTAAGCCTATAAAAGTTTTCTTCTCCCTCTGGCACATAAGTCCATGCATTCAAGTTTAAAAACTCTGGGAAGGGGCTGCGTCCCTA